CATGCTTGAGGTGATCGACACTTTGGTATTTTTAAGTGCCAACCTAGCTTTCCAAAATACTCCAGACACAATAGTCCAACGGATTGGTATTTGGATATTTTTGTGGCCATTGTACGCTGGAAATGAAGCGAGGAATCTCATTTTGTAACCATTCTTGGTTGGCGCGTCCTGAGTGCGATGGTGCTTAGTCCTGTTGGAATGTCCAAGGTCTGAGGCCAAAATGTTTGCGTGCCCAAGGCTTTAATACACGCTCCAGAATATTTTCGCAATAATATTCGTCATTTATTCTGATGCCACGGTCGATTAATATTTGCCGAGAGCGACCATCGGCTGTTATGACGGCCCACACCATCACCATGGCCGGCGCTTGAGTTCTGGTGGCCGACCAACCGAAGGTGCACATTTTCAGCTGACCTCTTTGGCAAGTAAATACGATCATTTTGTTTGTTTACAAACTGCTGGACAACGAATGTTTTCTCATCGGAGAAAACCAAATTCGGCAGTTCACCACTTTCGGCCAAGCGAAGCAACTCTTAAGCTCTTTTGAGTCTATTTTCTTTCTGTAAGTTCTTGCACCTTTTGGAATTTCAATGGCTTTAGCTCGAGCTCATTTTTCAATATTTGCCGAATGGAATATTGCGATATGTTTTGCTCATCAAGAGCCATTTTTCGGACACTGCGACGCGGGTTTCGATCAAGTCGCTTCTTTACTTTTCGAACCATTTCTGCTGATGTTTGTAAGCAATATTATGACCCGTCACTGGATTAATTTTAATAGCTGTCGGACGAGTGGCTTAGAAATGACAGCAGTCTGAAGTTGGTTGCAGTTTTTTCATCTCACCCTGTATGTATTAAAAATTATTCTGCCATTATTTGCCCTGATTTCTTTATGTATCAAAAAGGTTTTATGTTTCAGAAGCCAGATTACCTTGTAAAATCTTTTAAAAAATATATAATTTATTGTAATTTTTATAAAAAATAACATTTTTTGGTATTTCATATTAAAATGTAGTGACAAAGACGTTCGATTTTTCAGCTTCACTTATATACCTCTTGCACTTATATACCGAATATAAACAAGTCAATTGTTCCCACTTTCAAAGCCCAATCATTTAATCTAATCGATAAATAAATGCTAGGAAAACACGTAAAACCTGATGTTTAACAGCAGCAGTCAGATGATGCGTATGTATGACTGTATGTGTTCTTTAGAAAAAAATAAACAAACAAACAAAGCTATTGTTATGAACGACCTATTTTGTTTGCTTGTCTGCCTGCCTCTCTGCTTTGTTTATTGTTTGTTGCCAATTACCTCTTTTTTTTCAAATACTAGATACTAGTCGGGTATTAAACAATGTCTTGATGGCAAAATGTGTATAATCAATACATGGAATACACGAGTTTTGGCTTAGATGTACACAAATATGTAATGTAGTCATTTTTTTTTTGAAAAGTATTTAATATTCAGTTGCATTTTTCATTTAATTTATTTAACAACACTAAGGCAACCATGGCCAATAAATAGCATTTAACTATAAAGGAAATATGATATAATGCCCATGAAAACTCCAATGAATTTTGTGGTTAATCGTTTTTAAAATATAAAATACCATCGTTCTCCACTAATAAACAAGAAAAAATTGTCTGTTCCAAAACGGCAAGAATGGTAATGTTTTACAACGATAACCGATTTCACTGTTTGATATCGATAAAAATTGCAAAAATTGTAGATTCTTGCAAGTTCTGAAATAGAGCTGTTCTATAAACAGAAAATTTTCTAAACATTTTTTAATATATGCCACTGGAGGATTTTCCTTCTATAGGACCTTTATAGATTGAAGTCATATTTACCATTTAGGATTTTGAAAAATTATTTTTCGTCGGCTAAAGGATGAGATTTTTTCAAATTATGAATCTAGGAGTGAAGCCAAAATCTTATGGGAATTCAGGATGCAAAACAAAACATTGACATCAATGAGTCTGCATGGCCATTGACTAATGAATAGACGATGAATGTTGTTTTTGTTATACCCTTAGCCAATATGACTATCATTTGAAACGGCCAAAAAGTGCCTCATCGAAATAACGGTTTTAGACCCCAGGTCTCTTTCGACCAAATCCGTTCTCGAAGATGTATCCGATTTGATCCAAACTTGGTACATCGTAATATTATTGTCAAACTTAGATCGAGTTCGGAGATTGGCAATATCGGCCCACCCCTTCTCATACCTCCCCCACAAAATGTCAACATTTTCAAAGAAAATAATTTTCTCCACAGAAAGAGAAAGTAAAATCCGATTTGGCTCCAACTTTGCAAATCATAATATTTGCATCAGTGCTAGATCAGATGCGAAAATGGAAAATAACTGTCAACTCCATCAAGTACTTCCTCCACAAACGGTCAAAATCTAGAATAATTATACCTCTTATAAAATGTGATGTAAGTGTCCGATTGTCTTCAAATTACGCGAATTACAATATTTTTATTAATCCAAGGTCTGGTGTGAAGGTGGAATATATAGGTCTACTCCTACTGGTACCTCCCCCACAAAGGGTCAACATTTTGAATATTCATGAAGCTTATAAAACTCGAAAACTCGAACAGTTGATTCCATTCAGACTTGGCACATATCAATATTTCCATCAACACAAGATCTGTTATAAAGATGACAGAGATCGGACCATTCCTTCTGGCACCTCCCCCACAAAGGGTTACAATTTTAAATAAGCAAAACGATAAACAAAATCCGAAATAAGCAGCCGGTTCTCTTCAAATTACCCACATAACAAAACTCATAAAACACGAAATTAACACCCGATTCAGACTTGGTACATCTCAATATTTCCACCAACACAAGATTTGTTATAAAGATGGTGGAGATCACACCATTTCTTCATGGGGTTCAAGATTTAAAAAAAAAAATGCTCAAAAAAAAAAAACCAAATAAGCATCCAAATCCATCCATAAAACATGAAATTTACATCTGATTCCATTCAGACTTGGCAAATTTCAATATTTCCATCTCTCCTCAAATTTCCCACATTTTTGCTAACATAAGGTCTGTTGTGAAGATGATATATGTACATCTGCCAACCATTTCTGGTTCCTCACCCACAAAGGGTCACAATTTCCAATACTTACATCTGTGATACATGCCGAAGCAATTCGGCGATTCTTTACAACTTGCTATATCTAAATATTTCGCTTAACCCGAAATTTGATATGAATATGTCATTTATTGGAATTTATGATTTCGCATAATATTGGATATAAATGTTTGGATTTCCTTCGAATTTTGCAAATACCAATATTTTTTATCTGTATTAGATGAAGTATAAAAACGAAATACTTCTGTCCGCTATATCTGTTAACTCAAGCATATTTCCACATCTACCAATAATTTAGAGATATCTCATATAAAGTGCAGAAAGTAGTCGATATAGTCCAAATCTGTCACGTTGTAATATTGGTCAATATTGGCAAACTGCTTCGGAACCTATACCATAAAGGGTCAACAGTTTAAATAGTCAAATATCAAGGCTGGGCTATTTTACTTGTTTTCTTTTTTTTTATCCAGATGACTATCGGCAACTGTGACTTCAATATTTTCCCTCATACCCCCGACGACATAGACATGATTTACTGATCTGTATTTTTCGATAAACGATGAGACTATAATCCATGTCTCATAGGTTATTAATCCCGCCAATCAATGAAACTCTAACACACCACTTATTAGCTTTTATGTCAATTCTTCGTAATGTAAGCGACCAGAGTAAAGGTAGGATCCATAAATTGGATATGGTATTTATATTATTTCACATTCTACATGAAAATCATGCGTTTCAAATATGTGAATGACTGCAACCGAATCCCACTACCGAACGGCCATTCTTGTCAATGCTAATTTGTTGCAGAAAATCGCCATTCCTCTACGTTTCATAAAAACGTCATATTTTCTTGATCTGTGCCAACTGCGCCTTTGTCCTGATGGGGGTTTTTACAAAATCTGCTTATTACAATATAAAAAAATGAAAACTTTTGGTCTGCTGTCTTTATTGTCTTACTCAATAGGCTTTTGTTATACAAAAAAAGAAAAGAATTGTAAAGAAAAACACACATAAGAATGTGTGTGTGTGTGTGTGCATCAATTAAAATCTGACATTAATAGAATTGTCTTCAGATCCTCTTCTCCTCTTTCTCTTTTGCTATTACAAAATACAAGGGATATAAGCCTATTTGTTGCAAATGGGCAAGAGTGTGTCTACCTTAAAAAATGACGTATGACATTTGTTTATCGAACATTGTTCATTTTTGTTTCTTGTCTAGTCCTTACATAATATTGGTTTATTCCAATTCATTATTATTGTACGGCGTAGTTTCTTTTTTCCCCTCTTTGGTTTGTTTTGATTATCCGCCAGTTGTGAGAAATTTTAAACGAGCCTACAAACATTGGGGAATGCACTCTCCCCAACGCTTGCATAGGGAATGTTTTTGTTTGCTACCGGTAACCATTCATCTATTAGCTTACCTTCTCCCCCACCCCTGACAAATTTTATTGACGTTGTTTTTTTTTTTTGTTTTGTTTTGTTTGCCGCCATCATCATCATCTACATCGCCACCATCACCACCGTTGTTTCTTCCCTGTTTTTGTCGTTTAGCTTGTTTAGTTATTATAAAAAAAAATTCTTATAAAATCTTTGTTTTGAGACAATTTCAGTTTAGTCTTTAATCGGACGCAGAACTTTAAACGTCTTAACGCAAAATAAAAAAAAAAACAAATCATTAATAAATATAAACATAAATTTTGTTTGTTGTTGTTGTCGCCAGCAAATGTTTAAAAACTTTCACAGACATTTTAAATTTAATACGAAATTAAAATAAATGCAAATACTGTTGATTGGGGGCTAGATCCCGTTGGGTTTTCGAGCAAAGAAAACAAATCTAATACGGCAACATAACTGTGATACAAATAATTTTTAGTTAAAATTAAATTTAAAATTTAATAAAAATAAAGACATTAATAAAAAAATACTAATTATTTCAAAGAAATTAAAAATCAATTTACTTATATTAAGTTTTTAAATACAATGATGGCAGCTGCTATTGGTGTTACCATTACCGACTGTGATAATCACCAGGTGCATTTTGCTAATTCTAGGTATGGTTTTTGTTGGAGGATAACATACTTGTGAAATTTAAGAGAGTTGTAATTTTAAGAAGTCAAAAATCTATTTCATTTAAAATTGTTCAGATTCTTTGAGAAAATATTCTTGAATTCAAAAATGGTGGTCTAAAATAAAAAAACAAACTTGACTATGGTGAAAATTGAAGCTGAATGTTACACAAACAGAAACTTTGCCGCATTTTTAATGGTCGACAAAAATAAAAAGGATTTTACTGAAGAAATCTAACCTCTGTGTGGCAAAAGATCACATCTAGGAATGAACATGGCGAATATTTCATACGAATTTATAGACAGACTTTAAAATTTAATAAAAAAAGGTTTTCGGAAAAATATTTCAAAAGGATATTATATATTAAAGATATAACTTTCATCAATGTGCATGACTCTGCAGTAAAGAGTTTTAGGAAATTGGGAAACTATTTTTCATCTATCAAAATGGATGAGGCTTTTCAGATTGCCAATCCAGGAGTGACGCCAAAGTCATATAGGAGCATGACTCTGCATTACAGAAATTTAGGGTATTGGAAAACTATTTTTCATCGATCAAAAGAAGGGGCTTTTCAGATTTGCTAATCCAGGAGCGAAGTCAAATTCACATAAGAGCCTTATATGCAACTCAAAACACATAGCTATGGGCCTGCAAGCCAACGTGGTCTTGTCAAGGGAGTTTATAATTTGGGTCAAACCCAGTTGGTTAATTAAATTATCCACAAAATACACTCTTACGAAAAGCAGTGAAAAGTTATGCCTTCAAATCCTCTCGTCCAAATGTAACACCATAGCTGCAGAACACAACAGAATCGTCGATAACCGCTACTGTTCAAGAATTTTTTGGGGATTTTAGGATATTTTTTCGAATTTTATCCAAAGAACAAGATGGAAAGCACCAAATTAGAAAAAACTTATCATTCATTTGTATTGCAAACAATGGAAAAGAAAATGGTGCTGAAAATAAGGACGTTCGTACACTGGAAAATTTATATGGGAGGATTTCAAAAAATTTGAGATAAAATCGATTTTTAAAGCTACCAATTGCCCAGATGTTTCCTCTATCCTCATTGACTGAATTGATGGAATACCACTAATAAGCATCCACAAGGAAAACTTTCAGAAAATGTACTCTGCTCTGGGGATGTGTATAATTTGCAAAACAAGATTCTATTTCCTCCCATGTAAGGGTACCTCCCGATATTATAAAATCTCAAGCCACAATTTAATTTATTTGTTTGTTTTTTTTTTGTGGTAGATTTCCCAAAATAATCCTCACTGGTCCAATTTTATTCAGGGCCCCAATTAGTCTTTATTTCTAAATTTCCGGTATTTTAATCATCTCTATAATGGTACCGCCATGTTTTGGTGTTTTTGGAGAGTCTAGTCACATTTTCCAGTCGAAGTGGCTGAAATGTAATATTTTGGAATAAATAGTTCAATATAGCCCGCATTCATATTTGTTCCACTGATTTTTAATGTTAACCTTCTGCATATTCGGTGTACTTCCTTCCAGTTTACTATTTTAATCTTGTTTTTCGTTAAACGGTCTTGGCGTATCTATTCAGACCACGAGGTCCCATAAAATCATTTCAAAAAATTATCTTTATTTGCGTCATGAAAAGATTCCAAGAATATGATTTTTTTTATTATTGGGATATGGCGTAAGTCTCATACATTAATGATGAAATTCTAGATGGAGAAAAGGTAATCTCGTCATCGCCCTTATTACAATGATTAATGATTCAATAAAAAAGCAACCCTTTCCATATTTGTCTAGACTGATACAAATTGATTCAAGGTTGAGAAAACAGTTTAAAAACGTGTAATGTTTCTGGCCTATTTATAAATATCAAATTATAAAAATATGAAGAATTTATAAAACTATTTACAAGAAAACACAAAAACAAATTAATTACTATACGTGCCTGCATTCTTGTGAATAATATATAAATGACGATACACAGTAAAATGTGTGCCAAGTGCGCAATTTTTATTGTTTTTCTTTTTTTTTTGTTTTCATTTCAGTGATTTTGTGTATGTGTGTGTGTTAGATTTCATATGTATAGATATTATATACTCATACCTCACATGCGACAAGTATGTGCATGATAAAATGCTTATTTTTCTTTTCTTATTGCCAACTTTGTTGCTGAAAAAAAATAAGAAATTACTCACAACAACCAAACAAAATTAGGCAAATAAATTGGGATAGTACTACGTCATGGTAATTTATTTGAATTATTTAATTGTATTTTACCAACCAAATACGAAATCAATTATCTTTTGTTTACAATTGTTGATAATGATATGACTTCACAATTTGTTTTGCAAAAAATTGAAATTGAAGAAGCGAATATATAAATAAAGAGAGCTGTCCGTCGACAGTCCAGTTAAACCAATATAATACTGTCATGGAATTGCTCTCTTTGTATGATATTCGATAAGCCTCAATAAATGTTGGGTAAATTTTATCCCACTCGCCCTTTTTCTCTTAATGTTTTACTAACTCTAACACCCTTGTCTAATAAATGTCCCTTGTCTCAAATAAATCTGTCAATTGTTGTCCGTCAAAAAGTTACAAAATAAATAGTTTCAGAAACATCCACCTTTCCTTCATTAACAAATTTTTTCTCTCTCTCTCTCTCTCTTGATCTTTCACGAGTTACGCATATGAAGAGAGCTATCTGTCGACAGTCAAGTTTTTCTTTATTACTGTCATGGAATTGCTCTCTTTATATAGTATTCGTAGAACCGCAATCTAACACTAGACTATTTTTTTTGCTGTGTATGTGTTATGATTGGTTTTGGGATTTTGTTCTTGGATTAAACCATTTTTGGCAAAAAACTTAATTTTCAGGCATAATTTTGAACAAGATTTGTTTAATGGGAATTACTCTGTTCATTGGCCAAATTTGTTGGGTAAGATATATTTTTATCATTTTAAATAAATTTGTTTATATATTTGTGGCTAGGGACAATAGATAAAGGAAATTAATGTCCTAATTTAAAAAAAAATATATATATTTTTTTTTTTTTTGTACACAGGGTTAAGTTAAAAAATATATTTATCGATATACCAATCTTTTAGCTTAATGAATGCTAAAGTAGTCAAAATTACGACAGTGTTGAGGTCCCATTTAATTTTCCACTTCTTTCCAAAATATTCCATTAATGCAAATGCAATTCAAGGCATTGGCTTATAGCAGATATTTGAACATTTTTCTTCGAATTCTAGTTGAAAAACACTTCAGAAAATGTTACGAATATGGGTCCCTGTTCTGTTTTTTATATGAAGATCTCAACAATACGAATATGTGTCCCTGTTCTGTTTTTTATATGAAGATCTCAACAAATTAAGAGATACTTTAAATTGTTTGTCCAACTTTCGACGGCATCTTCCTCCAACTTGTCCAATTCAACTGTCTAACATTGTTGGGTAATTTCTATATTTATGGTTATCTTTCATTTAATTACAACTTATGGCTTTAGCTCTCGCCAATTAGCGACAACTCTTCTTATAATTTGGTATTTTTAGTTCTCCTTCCTGAATGTTAATGTTACCCTATACATTCGATTCGATATGGGCTAAGCTCAATATAATACTGATATTTTGGTACTTGTGAAGGGACCACTTTAAACATGATATTTCTTAGTGACTAGTATTCGCTCGCTGCTCACAAATTTCATGGCAAACTCAGTGCTATTTTCTACATGGTGTTGATACAAAATTCAATTGCACATATACATTTATGGCAGCGCGATTTTTAGTTATAATTTTCCCTCAGTTATCTGCTGAAACTTTTTCCCTAAATCTGTTTCAATTGTAATAGTTTGTTGAAACATATGTCAGCGGTTCTAGTAGCTTTCCCTATAAAATAAAAAATAATAATTTTTAATTTTGGATATTTTTTAAATATTTTCAAATTTATTGGAAACCATGGTGTGGTTTATTTAACTTACTAATCCTTGACTTAATATTTGACTTTTTCTATAGTAAGATTCTCCTGAATTGGATGTTGAAAAGAATTCATAGTTGGGATGATGTGAGTTAATTAGCACACAAATACACAAATCTAAATTCAAGTTTGCCTTACACAACTAAATATGGGGAACAATTAAAATTAATTATATTCAAAATAAAAAACCGGGCGTTTAAGAAGTAATACGTTTACAGGCCACCGCGACCACGTCCACCAGTGGGGCCACCTTGCCAAGCGCCTCGACCACCGCCAGGAGCACCCGGCGGACCACCTCTTCCGCCACCTGGAGGTCCTCCTCGTCCACGGCCACGAGCTGGAAATATCAAAACAAGCATTAAACTTAAAAAAAAAACAACAAAAAAAAACAATTCAACCTACCTTGTGCCCGAAGTATGGCGGCTTTCCCTCTTCCCGCCGTTCCGCCCAGACCTTTGCCCGTCTGTTTCTTAAACATTGGGGCATTCTTCAACATGTCCGGCAGTATGAGAAAACGTATTTTGGAGCCACGAATATACACATTTTCCAAGTGCGCTGTCCGCCCATCGCGGTATGTTACCGTAATTTGTGTCATTTGGCAATTCATGTTGTCTTCGGCCTCGATGAGCTTTCCTCTGTATACTTCGCCGGTTATTGTTTCACATGTTATAATGTGGCCTTCTGCTTCATGCAGAACTTTTATGGGCACTCCAATAGACATAATTTATAGTTCTTTCTATAAGTTTGTTAAATATTTATATATTTTACAAGTCTTTTTTGCACCACACAAATGTTTTGCTTTTAGGTTGCTGAAGAAGAAAACGATTACAATGTACGGTTTTTTGTGGGTATTTGACAGTTAGCACAGCGCCATGTTTTTCTATTGCTGAATTTGCTTGTGAAGTGTGCGTGAGTGTATGTGTGTAATTTCACATGTCAAGCATAATCAGAGTTGTATTTCTCTGCTGTGCTTGATTGTGAATGAGGTTATAAACGGTGGTTGGCAACACTTGAGTCTCATGGCTGTTATCTCTGATTAAGATGTTATTTTTTTTATTTTGATTTTATTTGTTTAACTTTATTTTAAGCGATTTTAAGGGCATATTTGTTGAATGAATTTTATATTGGAAAAACTATACAAAGTACTTATCCCACAAATACATTTTTCTTTTTTTTTGGAATTCAGTTTTATTAAAAATACAGAAACAATTGGCCACAACACTCTTAAAAAATATACAAAGAAATATTCACTGCAAAATACTTCTTTTTATATATATTTAATTATTTGCATACTCTACAGAAATATAATATGTATTATTCAATTATTATTTGCAGCGACCCATTAAGTAGTAGTAGTAGAAGAGAGTTTACGGAATCGGTTCTTGGCGCTAACTGCGCTGAGAATAAGTTGCGTACTATCTCTACCTCTTCTTGCGCTACCAACATGTCGACTGAGTCCTACTGTATCTCTCTCGGCGTAGGGCCTCTGTGGTGGTCCTGATGTCCCTACCCACCACAGAACAGATCACGATAGGGCGTCTCTCTTAACAGGTTGGTATTTGGCTTTATTATAGATATTCCATGTAATTACTTATAATTAATTATAATTTTTTCTAAAAAACACAGGTTACACTCGCAAATCTTCTGTTGATTCATCTGGTGGCAGCAGTGTTTTTGACAGAAGCAATAATGGCAGCAGCGGTGGCTCCAGAAGCGTTAGCACTTCATCGGCTTCATCGGAATGCTCGGACTCGGATGTACAATCCATCTACTCGGACGACGATTGCCAGGAGATAGTCAAGCAGATCTTAAATCAAGATCATCCAACTCGCATTTCTATCAAATTGCACGTCACCGAGACGAAATTTACGAAATGGGAATGCGTTCTAAATCCCGAAAATGACATCTTGTACGTGGCCATGCCAGACAAACTGGCCCCAGAGGCATCGCAACAGACCTTTTTGTCCCTCTTGGAATTTGCCGAAGATAAATTGGAAGTAGATGCAGTTGTCATGTGCGTACGTAAAGATCGTGCTGATCGTGCCCGTATCTTGGAAAGCTTTTTGCTAATGGGATTTGAACCGTTGTCCAGAAAAGCTCCCGAGGCGCCACCAGCCGCTATTAAAGATGTCGAGAATTTCTTCCTTATCTATCGCATCGAGGAGTAAACATAAATGCTAACCATGGCAAAACACACCCCAAGAAAAATATGCAAAAGAAAAAACTCTTTCTACAACCATCTACGCCAGTATAACAACAAGGCCAGTACAGGGGACATGCTACTGACCGCTAGTATTCAAAATATTGCATATTTTTCCATATTCCAAACAACAACATCCATCTGTGTTTTGCCAGATATTTTCCAGCTATTTTTACTTTTTGAATTGGGGAGAAATATCGTAATCAATGTTAAGAGCAAAGCTAATTTTGTCGTAAAAAAATATATCACCACACAATTGGTAAACTAAAAACTACAAAAAATGCAAAGAAAACTGCAACAAAAAAATTTTAAAATAAAAAAAAAATCCAAAAAAAATGTATTAGTTTAGTATTTCTTATATATTTGCAAACATTATAAACACAACACATATATACATTTTGCTTTCTAAATATTTTATTTGCTTATTCACAACAAATATTACAAACATATTACACAAAAATATTCCAAATTTATTTTTATTTTTTAAAAATTACTTTCATTATTATTTTAATTTCTTTATTTTTGTTTTATGTTCTAATGAGTTTTGTGTCTGCATTATCAATTATTGTCTATTATTTCTATAATATGTCTATGTTTTAGGTCTATTGAAAAAAATTTTTGTTTTTCTTTGTCACGTATTATATAACATATTATCATTGTGTATCATTAAGATAACATAAATATAATATTTCAATTTTGATTGCTTATATAACTTTCATTTGGAACAATATAACTTCTATTTTTCTTCTTTTATTATTATTTTTCTTTCTTATTATTTTTTCTTTAATAAATTGTCTTTTTTTTTTGTAAAACAACAGCAAACATTCTGTTTTTCATTTCTTTTTTTTAGTTTGAAACACATAATTTTCCTTCAAATATTACAGAAATTATTATTTGAAATAGAGACCACTTGCTCTCCATCTAATTGAAATACAAAGAAATATTTACTCACCCAACAAAAGGTGTAATTTCCTTTTTTTGGAATATAGACAAGGTAAGTTGAGTTTTTTTTTTTTTTCAAATTTCATAATGAAGACAGGGTAATGCTCAACGGAAGGAATATATAATCAATGTTATAATAATAGATCAAGATCTTTGTGTACTTCTCGTGGGAGAAGAGAGAAAATGTTTTCATATAATATTGTCGCTAACTTCCCAAGAAAAACACATATATTTATATTTATATAAGAGTTACCCAAATACCTCGGACGTACGATATTTCAAAGCTAAAAAATTCAACATTGGCAATTGAAAAATATATTTTTTTATGTTGAAAATAGAAACAAATAATATAACAATTGGGAGAATATTGCAAATTATCAAACATTACATTTTTAGTTCGTAGATTTTACGATATGGACCTGGCGTCTATTTGGGTAATACGGACGTACAAAAAATTTTACCATAATGGGGAAGTTGAAGTTTTGGGTGGGTACGCTACGTCGAATTTTAGGTAAAGCTATTATTCATATTAAAAAATTGTTACTTTCATTTTCTTGGTTGTCTTTGTGTTGTGAACCTCGTTATTTTCATTCAAAATAAGTCGTAGTGTGAAAATTCATTGGTAACACTTTTTGTAAATCTTTCAGTTCATAATGTATTAAACAATATAAGTTTTTTATTATGGTTAGAATAACAAATAACAATGAACCGCGCATAAGTACCCAGTCTAGACTGTATGTTGTGATTAGTTTTTTACGTCTTTACAAGCAACAATACAAAGCAATGGTACATGCATACTTAAGGTATCGTACCAACCTCGTCTTGACGGCGTAACCAATTACCGATTCCAAAAAAAAAAAAAAAAAAAAAAAGCAACAATAATCAACATTCACAATAGGCAAATAACATTTATTGGGTTATCAATTCATAGTGAATGCAAGAAAGTGCTCTATTGTTATGGCCTTGTAATTGCTAATCAAAACACCTTTATCAAAAATCTAACCGAAATTGATTGATGACAAATAAGACCAAACTTTGTGTTTTTAAAACATGATTTTTTAATAAAAAAAGTTGTTAAACGCTACTTGCTATGGAAATAATAGCTTTTCGATCTGTTGATCCCTTGAAAGTTTATTTTTCAATCTGTTGATCCCTTGACCTAAACTGATTTTTAAATCCCTGCGGAGGTAATTTTTTCGATCTGGTGAACTCTGCTTTCGACCTGCTAATTGTGGCCCCTGTTAGCGCAGACCCTATCTTCTCAAAGCGCTGCTCGTAGCAGCGGAGGCCGGGAGTAAGCCTCATTTTCTCTTTTCACCTTGCATGAAATACATAATACATTCACATGTTACGCTAAGTAGCATATCTTTACGACTTCGCTGTATGATAGAACAAGACGGCTATAGTTCTAAGTTAAACATGTTAACCATTCGACTTGTATGAACATTTACAAAAAAAAGAAGAAGACTAATAAAGTTTACTTTAATAACATTTAATACGTTTAATTAAATAGATTGCTCATAAACAAACAGTGTGAAGGAAGAAAATGGTAAGTATTCAAAGAAAAACACATATTAAGGCATTGAATTACATCCTGTTATAGATATCGAAGAAGCGGCATTCACATCTACATGGACTCATTGCCCATCGTTGTAAGGAGAAACGAATTAACTCAGTTTAGGAAAATTCTTGAATATGTTATTTATCCTTTTATAACGGCAAGGAATGGAAAGGAAAGTTTTTAATTTTTAAGCACCCCCGGGAATCATTGAGAGAAATCCATATGGCAAGGGAACGAAAAGGAAAAAGGTTAGCACAAATTGTAGCATTTTGGAAAGTTAAAAGTATCAGCTATAATTTGGCATCAATTTTGTTGACCCCCATAATGGACCCTTTTTCTACTTTTTGGGGGTTTTATAAAAAATCTGTGTGCAAAAAAGATTGATAATTTGACTATAACTTCCGAACCGCTTCAATAACACTGTCATGTGGTAAGTGTTTGTCTTGAACCCGGACTTTCGGTGCAAAAATTTGTGGTCCCGGGTTCGTTCCCAAAGAAAAAATAGTTTCCCGGAATCAGGATAAAATACCTATATCTCGAAAAAAGAGTTTTTACTAAACTAGAGTTGTTCTATTTCGGAACAAGAATTTCAAAAAAATTGTAGAGTTTTTACCAAACTAGAGTAGTTTCGAAATATGGCCTAATTCTTGTTTATATTACATGGCGATTCTGCCAAGTTTGCACTACTATGCAGGCCAAGCAATTGCCTAGTGTACATTTGAACCTCAATATTAAACAAAAAATGCTTGTCCTACTTTATTTCTACAGGCCGTCACATTACACACAGATGTTGGAGACATAAAATTGGAATTATTCTGTGAGGATTGTCCCAAGGCATGTGAAAACTTTTTGGCTTTGTGTGCCAGTGATTATTACAATGGTTGTGCATTTATACGGAATATTAAGGGTTTCATTGTGCAGACTGGCGATCCCACCAACACCGGTAAAAATGGCAAATCAATATGGGGACATAAGTTTGAAGATGAATTCAAAGATCATTTAAAGGTAAATTGGAAATCTTTATAAGAAATATGTTCTTAAAATCTTTCTCTTTGCGATTACAGCACTCCGATCGTGGCATGCTATCCATGGCCAATAATGGTCCCAATTCCAATGCCAGCCAATTTTTCATTACCTATGCTGCCCAACCAAATCTCGATTTAAAATATACCTTATTTGGTCGAGTCATTGATGGATTTGATGCCCTGGATGAATTGGAAAAACTGCCGGTGAATCCAAAAACATATCGGCCACATGCCGAAAAGAAAATAAATAGCGTAACAATACATGCCAATCCCATTGCCGGATGAAAATAAATTAAAACATAGTTTTGTATTTAAAGTAGTGAGTTGATTGTTTTTATTTAAAAAAAGATTGTTTTTCTACAACTTTTCGATTTTTTAACAAATTACTATTTTTGCTTAATTTAATATAAATGAGTAAAGAAAACAAAATAGGAATTGACTAAAAACAACGAAACATGATGAGACGATAATGTAATACAGAACCAAATATTGAAAAAAAAATTGCATTGATAGATAGATTTCTTATGGAAGAATTAAAAAGAAAAAATAAAAGATTTTTCGAAAAAGAAAATAGAACACTTTGCACTACAACTACCAATGGAGGGAAACAATCATTTTAGTGTAATGCCATGATTTGTTTGTTTTTCTTCTCTTCTTGTTTGGCTATAACTCTAAAACTTAGCTAAGAATGATAATCATAATAGTCCATATTGATGAAAATCATAACGATTTAATAATATTTTAACCTAATATTGCTAAAAAAATATTTATATATAATAATATTAATTAAAAAACAAATGCTCCAACAAATTAATTTCACTTTTGTATGAGGACGAGTTTTTTTTTTTCTTCTTCCCAGCCAAGTTCATCTTGGACGTTGGATGATAAGCCGTATTTTTCAAGGTAATATTGTGAAAATTATTTGCCATCAATGTTGCAATCAGTATGAAGCAGATGGCGATGATGATTTTCTTCTGTCTATTACTGCCAGATCGGTAGCATCATCATCATTTAGCTGTTGAATTACCATTGGCAATGGCAGCTGTGGATTTCTTTTGTGGTGGAGGATTCTTTTTCATATTTTCCTCGAACATAGCTCGAATATCGGCTAGGGCCTTGCAAATGTTATCTGCAAAACGATGAACGTCCTGAAAGGAGAAAAAATGGATATTAATTATTATTAATTAATTAATTAGCAGATCTGTTGGACGAAAAATTATATCAAAACAAGTTAAAAAGCTGTAAGTTCGGCCGGGCCGAACTTTTAATACCATCCACCATTTGGTACAAATTTGGCAATTTCCAAAAAAAAAAAAAAAAAAAAAATCCGTTAAAAATTCTGTTAAAATCTTAAAAATACCGAATGCTTATACGACGACGTGGGCCTGCATAGGCTACTTTTGTCATAAGTTATTACAATATTTAAATGCGAAACTTGAAGAAAAATCTGTTTATAATGTAGCTAAAATCATGAAAATGCCGAATATGCGGGGTACCGTTATATGGGGGCTATACGAAGACGTGAACCTGCACAGACAATTTTCTGACATGGGCTGAAGTATCCATTATGAACTTCACATGCGAAATTTGAAACAATCCCGGTAAATAATGTCGCTAAAATCATCAAAATACCGAATATCGGGGGGTACGGTATATGGGGGCTATATGAAGACGTGGACCTATATGGACCATTTTCTGTTTTATGCTGCAGTATCTATTACGAACTTCAAATGCCAAATTCGGAACGATTCCGCTAAATAATGTCGCTAAAATCATCAAAATACCGAATATCTGTGGGGTACCTTTATATGGGGGCTACTCGAAGACGTGGACTTGCACAGACAATTTTCTGTCTTAGGCTGTAGCATCCATTGCGAACTTCAAATGCCAAATTTGAAACAATTCCGGTGAATAATGTCGCTAAAATCATCAAAATACCAAATATCGGGAGGTAGCGTTATATGGGGGCTATATGATAAATTGGACCTACATGGCCCATTTACGAACTTAACCCGCCTACTGGCAAAATACGCATGTGTGCAAAATTTTAGCAAAAAAATGCCTCTAAATACCCCGTATTTGTAAAAGTTGAATCACCTCTTAAGGGGGTCCAAACCCTAAATTCGTCAAGTGTTGACGATTTTTGTCGGGAATGAAAAGATAAAATGCCAAATTTCAGCCAAATCGATTGGAAAATTCATTTGCAATTCTCAATTTTGAAAAAAACGGAAAATTGCCCTTCAATGGGGACCAAGCCCAAACATGATCCCAAATTGACCATTTTTCGTATAGAGGTTTATCATATGTCAGGAACTTGTAACACTAAATTTCTGCCAATTCGATTGCAAATAGTGGCTGAAATGCTTAAATTTGGAATATTAACGGGGTGGTTAAAGGGATCAAACGTGAAGCAATTATGATAATTTTTGGTATGAAGGTTTTCCGGCCTTTTGGAGCCCGCATTACTAAATTACAACCATATCGGTTGAAAAATGATTCTCAATGTTACAATTTTGGAAAATGCTAAGCCCCCCTTTTAAGGGGGTCCAAGCCCTAATGTGGACCAATGATAACAATTTTTGGCATAAAGGTGTTCTACCCTTTGAAATCATGAAATACCAAATTACAGCCAATTCGGTTGCGAAGTGTACATTAAACTCTCAAATTACGAAAATTGAAGGTGTCCTCCAACCAGGGTCATATCCAAATGTAGACTAATGATGACAAATTTTGGTAGGCAGGTTTTCTACCCCTTGAAAACATGAAGTGCCAAATTACAGCAAAATTGCTTGCGAAAAATTTGGAAATTTAGAAGGTATTCCAAAGGGGGCCTAGACCTAAATTTGGACCTACGATGAAAATTTTTGGCATGGAGGTTTTCTACCACATGAAAATATGAAATAGCAAATTACAGTTAAATCGGTTGAAAAATGCATCTGAAAGCCACAAATTGAAAAAATCTAAGGTACCCTTAAACGTTGACCAGACCCAAACACGATTCAAAATGGACAATTTTTTGCAAAGAGATTTTCCTGTCACTGAGAACATAAATTTGCCAAACTAATGCCAAATCGATTGAAAAATGCATCTGAAATCCTCAAATTTGGAAAAGTTAAAGCACCCTTCAAAGGGGGACCCAATAAAATTTTGGACCCAAGTAGAACATTTTTTGGCAGATTGTTTGGTTATCTTTTGACTATTAAAATAAAATTCCAAATTATAGCCAAATCCATTGAAAATGTTTTTGAAATCCTTAAATTTGGGAAAATGGAAGCTTCTCTTAAAAGGGGGACCAAAACCAAAAGTGACCCAAATATGACCACTTTTTGTATGGAGGTGGTCCATCAAACGTTAAATTACAGCTAAATCGATTAAAATCTTTAACTTTATTTGGAAAATTTGAGATACCATTCCAAGGGGGGTCATAAAAAACAAAGTTTTTTATTTTTTGGTAAAAAGTCGCTATTTCCTCATGAATCGGACGAAACCCGAAAGTTCAGTTAAAGTTTTTTCATTACTTAAAAGTCAAAATTTCAAAAAGACAGAAAAATCGGTTTAAAAAATTCTCCACAGTTTTCATAACCTAAAAAGGATACCCTTGAAGATCCCTTATCCGAAAGTGGTCAAAAGTTTGATTATTTCCAACAAAAATAGTTCTGCCCCATAAGAACAGAAAAATCCTAAAATTTCAAAAAAAAAATCTAGGTCCAAGAAATATCTATACCAAAATTCATAGCTCTATCCCAGAAATATTCAATTTTAGAGTTCAAAGGCAGACGAAAAGTTATCGAAAAACCATCTCCTTCCTAATTCCCCCAATATTCACTTCCTCTCCCCAACTACTTACCGTTGTTGCACATGAATTCTTCGCCGAAATGTGGAAGAAAATCAAATCTTCACCGGCAATGATGTACGACACACCATAACCATCATCTGCAACGGGACCAAAACCACCGCCAGAACTAATACAATTTGGATGCTTTTTCAAATCCATTTTCGGTGTCTGGCCATGGGGTGTTTGACTAGTTGAAAGACGCCATGGTTCGCTGAGTACTTCATTGAGGAATGGTGAGTCGACTTCCAGATATTTGGAGACGACATATAAACAGAAGAGATGACGATCAATGCCACGACCGCACATGGCATCCTGATAGCCCAATTGATGGCGTTCACAGGCCTTTTGCAGCAGGGCAATGCGTTCTTCCATCTAAAAGGGACGAATATAAAATTACTTATTTTTAGACTGAAATAAAAATAAATGGGAAATTCTATTAACATACCGTGGAGTTTTTGTTCTCCATTGCCTTGACCCAGGCTGCGGATTCAATGGTACAGGGTCTCACAGTTTCGGTACGACCCTCACGGAAGAGACGTGTCATTGAAGCTTCATATGTCAAGGAGAAACGACCAGCATCACGATAGTAGGCCAACTGCAGGGCCATTTGTATGAAAGCATCTGGTGAGAGACGGCATTTCTTCATGAAACCCTTGCCGTATTGATTATGGACCAAAATACGGAGATCAACATCCTAAAAGAAGTTGAAAAGGAGATTTTAGAAATTGAAATAAAAGTTGTATTCTTTGTTATGACTTACATTAATCAGTTTATTAGCATCTAAGGTGGCTTCTTCAATTTGTGGCAAACATGGCTCCAATTGCCAGTTGAGACGTGTGGGCGATGGTGGTTGGAATTCAGGTGTACCTTTGGTATTGCCATTTTCATCATATCTAAATGGTGTAATGGGGGGAAGGAAAAATTGAAAATCATAAAAGAAATTAGTTTATGTTAAATGAAATAATCAAATAAATTAAAAAACCAGCACCGTTTTAGTTGAATTTTTGAATTTACAAATCTCTACATACAGACATTCACACACACATAAATAGATGTTAGTATTGGCAATCATTAGCAGACAAGCTTAAGTTTTAAAGGATGTTTTACGCATTCTTTTAGGGTCAAATGTATACGAAGTTGTTCAAATTTATTTGTCGTCTTTTCATAGCATATTTTTAGGCGCTGCCCAGATTTTTTAAACGAAAAAAAGGTATAACGTAAATTAATATATTTACGGCAAAGAGTGATTCATCGCGTCCCAATCTAATTTTCGCTCAATGGGTACATAAATAACCAGAATTGTCGATCTTGGAGTGAAAATCAGTCTGAAGCATTGCAAAAGCTACCAATGAGTCCAAAAAAAAATCAAGTTTCGTGCGGTCATTGGACGGAATTTTTTTAAGATGCTACAAATCGTAACGTCACTGTGAATGGTGAGCGCTACCGTGAGATGATATCTAACCTTTTTTGGTCCAAAATGGATTGAAACAATTTCGACTCATTTCGGCATAAATCTATCTATTCATACCCTACAACACATAGTGGTAAGGATATTATGTCTTTGTGCATTTGTTTGTAACATAGAGAAGGAAGCGAGTTAGACCCATAGTTACTTTTGAGGATCTTCATAGAATCACTTTCTTAGTCGATTTATGCGTGTCAGTCCGCCGTCCGTCTGTCCATGTATTTTGGTGAACAAAATGCAGGTCGCATTTATTATCCAATTGAGATGAAATTTTCCAAACAATACAAGGACGAACCCTATTGAAATTGATGAGAATCGGTTCAAATTTAAATATAGCTCCCATATATATCTACAAACGATTTCAGGTTAATTGTGCACTAAATGGACAATATAAGTCCAAATGACCTGAATTTTTGCACATCTGACCGAATTCAGTCTAGAAGCAAGTACATTAAATTTGGTGAAAATCGGTTCAGATAAAGCTATAGCTCCCATATATATGTGTCATCCGATTTGGGGGTTTAAGTCTCTCACATTCGTAATATGCACCCCACACAAGAAAGATATTTGTTACCAGATATCAGATACGGCCCATAAATACCTCTGCTAAATTGTATCATGTTCGGTTCAGATTTAGATATAGTTCCTTATATATCTTAAACCGATTTCGGGTTATGTGTGCACTAAAAGGCCAATATCAGTTCAAATTACTTGAATTTCGGCACATCCGACCGAATTCAGTCTAGAAGTAAGTACATCAAATTTGGTGAAAATCGGTTCAGATATAGCTATAGCTCCCATATATATGTGTCATCCGATTTGGGGGTTTAAGTCCCTCACATTGGTAATATGCTCTCCACAAGATTGATGTTTGGTACCAGATATCTTATAGTGTTCGGAAATACCTTAACCAAATTTCATTGAGATCGGCTAAGATTTGGATATAGCTCCCATACGTATCCTTTATCCGATTACAGGTTTATTGTTCACCAAATGGCCAATATCAGTCCAAATGACCTGATTTTTGGCACATCCGACCGAATTCAGTCTAGAATCGAGTACATCAAGTTTGGTGAAAATCCGTTCAGATATAGCTTTAACTCACAGATATTTGGATATAGCTCCCATACATATCCTTAATCCGATTTCAGGTGTATTGTGCAAATAATGATTAATATCAGCCCAAATAGAGTGAATTTCGGGAATTGAAAAAGGTTCGGAATTGGATATGCCTCATATATATTAATTCCCTCTAATACCAAATTATAACTGCTCTAAAGCCAAATGTTGATAGGTGTTATGATCTACTTCAATATTTCTGACTTTGGACTTTTCCTTACTTTGCTGTTAAAAGCATGTTAGCGCCTAAGAGTATGCTTTAAAATGAGAAGTATATGTCGCTAGATATTTTCAAGTTTAATATCATATCCATTTAAAATGAATGTCCAAAAGAATTGATCCTTAGATTGCAGCACTACAAATGAACTGTAAATATAATAGTTTTTAAATATATTCGACATTTCATCTTGAAATAACTCAATATCACCAGAATTGGTTTATTTATGCCTTTCGAAACCTCAAAAAGTATGTATCATTAATTTTATATAAAACTAGCACAAAACTTGCCTTGCTAATAACGAAAAGAATGTTATGTTAGATAGTTAGTATTTTAGGTGAATTAGTTCAACAAACTATGTTTTACAAATAACGGTGCTTATAGACTTAAAAATATTATTAAATTTATTTCAACTCAAAAACAAAAAAAGAAAGAAAAACCAAAAATGTTTGAATATTTCTTAGTTGTGATGAGATTATTGGTTTGGAATATAAAAATTGTAATTATGTCTAGTGACAAATTTCCATCATAAAACAATTCAGTTTTTTTGGATTTTACTAAAATTGGAAACTTTTCTTAAATAAATTGTAGTAAAAATTAATTTCTATACAATTGAGTTGAAATAAATTTAATCTTTGATTAGTAAGTTAGTTCATATTTAATTATTCATAGAATGGATGATTAGGAATTGTTATATATTTGGGGACTAGCTTGGCTAATATTTGCAATGAGTAGTTTGGTATTTTTACCCATAAATATCATCACCAAATATATATTCCCATGTATGACCCATAACCGGTGCATCAGCCCTAAAAAAATGTGTAAATATTTCAAGAAAATAAATAAAAAAATTAAAAATAATAAAAAAAGATATAGATATATAAACAGAAAAAATTATATACATAAATATTGTGTGTTGTACCTGTAAAAAATAAATAATTAAAAAAAAACTTCAACCATAAGAAAATTAAAAAAAATGACCATAACCAAAATGCGATCGAAAAAATGAAAAAAAAAAATGTATGGGCATATTAACAACGCTGTAGGGGGCCATCACCGCTTTCACATCAAGAGAAAAATAATAATTTTTGGAAAAAACAAAACTATGCATTACCCATCGAGCACTAGATCGTCGATCATCATATTTTCCCACAAGTGTGCACAAACAGCAGCATCGGCCCTTTTTTGGTTTTTAATAAAAAAAATTGAATTTTAATATATATTTTAAAAGTTTTGCCAATTCATAAAAATTATTTCGCGTTTTATATATAAAAATGGAATTTATATTCTATTATTAATTTAAAAAAAATGACTGGGACTTTTTGGTCCCAAAAGAGAATTTACCTTCCTTTAAAAAATATTTAAAAAATTGGCGTTATAGGAATAAAAAATCATTTAGAAAATCGTTTAAAAAATACGTCTTTAGGAAAAAAATCCTTTAAAGAAGATGTTTTTAGAAATGTTTTTTTTAAGCTAAGGTTTTGGATAAAAGAATCCTCTGGATAATATTTAAAATCATCCAAAGTTCCATGAACAAAAAGCTGACTTTAAAATCTAAAATCTTTTTGATTAAAATATCCTTTCGAAACTGTTTTTGAAAAATAAAAAAAAAACTATTCTTTTCAAGGTCAAAATACCTATAGAATATTTAAAAATGTGTATAAAAATCACGTTTTCAAAGACGTCCCTCAAAAATATGTTTGAAAAATCTAAATTTTAAGTCAATACATTTTTAAGAAATATTTTCAAAAAAATTCTGGGTTTTTAGGTGAAAAAGCTCTTTTAAAACTATTTCTAGATAAAAAAATGCCTTTCAAAATATTTTTATAATATTTTTTTTTGAACAGTCTTGGCATGATTTTTCTTCGGGATACCGAAGTATTTTGTTGTTGCAAAATAGTTAGGCTTAATCCCATTATTATTGTTTATTAGTGGATAATGATGGTAATATTTACCAGGGGGTAAGGCGGGGATACCAGAAAGAGCTATCAATCCTCATCAGTTCCCTTGTCTCTTTGTCTGGGATATTCTCCCCAGGAGTTATTTTAAAATAACTTCTATGACAAAAAACATTTTTTACCTAAGAGACGAGATCGTAAGCTCAATAGAAGAGGAACCAAGGAATTAAATTAAACTAAAATTATTTTGAAAAAATATTCTAAATCTTATAACCGCACTTATAAACATTTTCAGCTCTCTCCACTTGTTATGCTTGGTTTGTTCAAAAAGTCCTTTAGAAAATATTTTTCAAAAAAAACCGCAGATTTTTTAATTAAATTCAAATTTAAAGAATTGTTTAGAAATTCCTTTTTTTAATGAGACCAAGCTTTAAGACCAAAACGTCCTTTAGAAAATTTTTGTAAATATTTCAAATATTTGGAAAAATGTCCTTAAAAATATTTTCAAAAGTTTTTTTGATCAAAAATAACACTGGAAGTACATTTTCTCTCCTTCTCACCCATAATCTGGCATTTTCTTGTAGGGAAATTTTAACTCCTCCACTAATTTGAACCACAAAATATTTATATATTTCAAAACTAAAAATTTTCGTTTCATTTCACTTACCACGTATGTTCAGCATTGAAACCGACACGGCCATTCGTACCCACACACACGGTAAAGCTCTTGTCAAACCAGCGATTATAGCCATTACCATGCAGCAGAGTTTTACCGAAATTATCCAACAGCTCAGGACGATTCAAATCGAATTCGAATGGCACCTCATCTAATGACACAACAAATGCAGCCGATTCAACGGTGTTCAATGAGACCCGATTAACACCACGCGAAAAATATGTATTGCGAGCTTCAGCCCATTTTGAACGATTCCAGGCTGTAAGAGCGGCCAAATGTTCTTCACCAGGTAGAGGAGTGGCCTTGGATTTTAGGATTTCTTCCATTTGTCTGAAAAGAAAAGGAAAACATTAATTTTTTTTTCACAGAAGGATGTGTAAAAGGGAAATCTATTGGTGTATAGAAATGGTTTTTGTAATATTAAAGGATTTTGAGAAGGTCTCTATTGTGAGACCTGTAAAATATATCAATTCTGTAAAAACGATCTTTGGAAGATCCTTGTAAAAGAACTTGTTTCTATGATCAGTTTTTACTGGCTTTCTGCAAAATAAAACATTTTGCTTAGGGTACTTTTATGAGTGTTTTTTTATAGCCTTCCTTGAAATGGAAGACTTTAAGATGTAGACACATAGAGAATTTGTGGCTTAAGTCATCGGCTTGCTTTTTCGTACAACACGAAATTGAACTAAGACAACCTAAATATCCTTTGTTATTTTACAAAAAAGCCAACCGATGACTTAGGCCAGTAAAAGAAGCCTTCTATGCATTCTCACCTTTAGAAATTGTTTTAGAACATAATATCTTAGATTTGATTCATGGGACAACTTTAAATGTTTTTTATAAAGTAGAAGTATTTTATAACGTCGAAGTAGATTGACCTTTTAGAATACATAGAAGACCCATTATGAAATAGAATTACACTTGAGGTACTTTATAAAAATACTTTTTAAAATAAAAAAAATATATATATTTATAAAATATCTTTATATTCTACATAATAATTTTTAAAGGATAGCTATAAATTGGCGATCGAATAGAATATCTTTTAAGATGCTTCATTGCAAAGGAAATTCTTTAAGAGATATTTCGTAAAATAAGCGTCCTTTTAAATATATTTTGTTAAATAGGCAGGCCTTTGAAGATATCGTATAAATAATATATATTTTAATAAGAAGAGATTTAAAAGGGTTTTCAGATCTGTGTTGGAAGATTTTCTACAGATTGAACGAATTTTCAAAAAATACCACTTAAAATATTATATCTTCTCTAACATAGGAGACATTCTTGATGCATTTTTTTAATATAAGGTCTAAGGTTCATTAAAAGATTCAGCTTTAATAATAAAAATTCGAAATGCCTTTTAAAGTCTTTATAAGTGTTTAAGAAAGCCTTCCAAAAACAAGAGTGCTTTTCGGAGACCTCTATAAATAGAAGATCTTTCTGTAATTTATTTTTAATTACATAAAATTGTTTTTTTAAGGTCCCAACCAAAAAATATTCCTTTAGTGAATTTCTTTGGAATAGAAGACCTATCAGAGAGTATCTTCCAAAGTTTTTGTTTTGTCTAAGAAAAAGCCTTTTAAAATGCTTCTATGGTTAGAAAGGTTTGAAGGGGGCTTAAATTGTTTGAAGATAATAGACCATTAATAGATTTTCCGTTCAAAAGAGGACCTTCTTTTTGTTATCATTCCTCTATAAAATGAGAGACCTTTCGGAGGTATTTCTTTAACATAAGGTCTTCTAAGAAACTGAATAAATTTTTAAAGATAAAAATAACCCTTTAAAAATAATAGCATGTTTCCATTGGAAACCGAACAACGTTGTTCGCTCTCAGAATTAGGTACACGAATTAACCCGTTCATACGGCACGATTCGTAATTCATAGTAAAATAATTCCTTTTTTTCAAAATTTTGTTTGTTGATTTTAATAGGAGTTTATACTAAAATACATTAAATTCTCACTAATATGGATAGAAGAAATGATTATTTTTCTCCCAAAGATTTATTAAAACATTAATTTTATAATTTTCATTCACGTTTCCAACTTTTTGTGTGAATGTTGACATTTTGAACATATTTTTGTATTTTTCTATTTTTAAATTCTGCTGGAGAGACACTTGTCAAACATTTTTTCTGTTGATACAACCATTTTGAAAATATTGCCTCTTTTGTTTCCTGTTTTCTGTGGCAATTTCAACCCGTGGACAAAATGCGTACCTCGGATGAGAGAGAAAACAAAATTTACTTTCGTTTGAATGTACATACGCTATTCTATATTGTAGTTTTCATTCATAAATTTCAGTCTTCCCAAAATTTTTCAAAATTTCATTAAATTTTTCTATTTTCAATTTTTAAATGTCATAATTAATTTTTTCGATAAATGCTCTCATTTGTTAGGGATGGGACATATTTTTTCGTTGTTCTGAGAGTGATTTGATTTGAACAATGTACAAATATGAGTGTTCGCTCAGGAAATTTTGTGTGAAGAATTAAGTAGTTTTTTCATAGTTAAGGGTCAAACAACGAAAAGAGAGCGAATCAAGTGCAGTGGAAACGCCACATAAGTTTGAGTAATTGGAAAGGGTTTCCCACTTTTACAATGCCTTTTAAAGTCTTTATAAGGAACGCTGAAGACCTTCTATAAATAGGAAAGATTTTCAGAGCCTGGAATAAATAGGAAACCCTTCTGAGATCTCTTTAGAATATAAAATATTTTAAAGTACATAAAAATGCTCCATACACAAAGTAGGGCTTTGGAAAAAAAAAGCATTTGAAAGTAAAGCCCTTGATTTTTGATTTTGATTTTTCTTTTGGAATAGAAGACGTATCAAAGAGTACCTTCTAAGGCTTGTCAAAGAAAAAACTTCTATGGAAATAAAAACCCTTAAGATAGGGCATTTGAAAGTTCTTCTAATTGATTGAAGATAATAGACCATTAATTGATCTTCCCTTGAATAGATGACCTTATTTTTTTAAAGAAGTCTTTTTAAATGCAAAAATAACTCATGTAAGTCTATTAAAAAATTAAACCCTTTTAGCAGGTTTTCTTTGGATCTCTAAAAGTCTTCTATAATATAAATTTATGTTCGTTAAAGGATCTCCTAACCTAAATAAGATCTTTGACAAATCATCTATTCTATATATTTTCAATATGTCTCATTTTTATAGAAAAAGCTCTTCCGTTTTACAGAAGACCTCTAAGGTTTTAATTTTAAGATTTTGCAATCTAGAAAAAAAAAAACTGAAATTATCTCCAACCTACATTTGAATTTCACAGGGTCTCAGCAGGCGTCCTTTGTAGTAAATCAAAACCTTGTAATAGCAGCCTTTGTGTAGCACCACAATGTGATTGGAATCTTTGTAGTGGACAATGCGATCGGTTTCCAGGCCAGGGGCACGAACGGTATTAAAGGTTCTTTCATATTGCCAGGAGCACAAGGGGACAATGCCTTGGACCATGATCTAAATGAAAAAAGAAAATATACACAAATTAGTATTTTATAAAAATTGAAAAAGAGGTTGTTCTACTCACAGGCTGCAATTCTTGTCTCTCAATTAAACGTCTGAAGTTCAACAACAAATGGCAAATATTGGCAGCACGTGCCGCTTGATTGTGGGTCAAATCCATGAAAATGGCATCGGTACCATAGAAATTACTGTTGATCATCAGGGGACTGCGGCCGCGTAGATAAACATATTCCTCCCACCAATCGGAAACGTAATTTGTCGACCACCAACTCTTCAAAATCAAATACCATTGCAATTTCTTGCCAATGGTGCTCTCAAACTCGTTGGCCAATCGTTCCATTCGCTGATATTGCTCATCATCCAATAGGGGACGTACTGAACGCAAATAACGCTGCATTGTATCCTTCACCGATGGCAGTGTCAGACGTGGCAATGAACCTTGAAAACTGTATAGACCCGGTTTATTCCAACTTGAGAATACCTTGACTGCACCAGCCCATAGTTTGGTGCGCAGTGAGGTCTTGCTACCCGGCGCTCGAGATTCATACATCCAACCCTTGTACATAAGCAGTAGTTTGAGCGTATAACGCATGGTGAAGCATATTCCTAACCATATAACTAGGGAGGCTAGAAAGCAAGCCGTGACTTGCCAATTGATTGTGTTTGCAGGTAAGTGTACTAGTATGCGATTGACTATGTTAAAGGGTGTTTGAAAGCCGGCGAAATGCAGGCCCAGCGCTATGGCTGTTATTAGCCATAGACTGTGTATGTGGGCGGGATAGACGCCGTTGCGTATGCCGTTCTAAAAGAGAGGGGAGAGAGGAAATGGATTAGTTTTCTTTCTTTGGAAATGTAAGATGGTTCAACTTACCCTGGCCCTAGCCAAGCGTTTCTTCCATGATCTGTAACCCGAGGTCCAGATAAGATTTAAAACCTCCTGATCGTAGTTGATATCAAAACCCTCATGGGTAATGGCAAATGAAAAGGCAACGGCCTGATGGGCTTCAGCCATGGTGCCGCTGGCTTAATTAACCCACCAAAAATAATATGTGTATGGCTCTCTTTGTGGATTAGGAGAGGACGAAAAACAAACTGAAAAGAGAAGAAAAAATATTGAAAATTAATATTTGTCTAAATAATTTTGTTTAAATATTTCTAGATTTAAGAAATTGAATGGATTTTTGAAAGAGACAAAACTCGAGGAAAATCCGTTAATTTTCCTAAGGAAAATTGGTTGACCTTCTTAAAAAAGATCTATAGAGTTTATTAGAAGGGTCCGCTAAAAAATACAAATTTCAAACATTTAAAAAAATCTTATAAAAGCCTTGAGATTTTCTTGTGATAACCTGAGGGTTTTTAAAATATAATGTGCTATTTTGCGTACGTATGAGAGCGCCCGTCCGAAATCTTTTGTTTTCAAAAATGTTGGTACTTTCAATATCGAAAAATTAGTTTTTTTTATCAGTAACTCTCACCCCGTCCCTGATTGGTCATATTCTTGGGTAATATGCCTGTCGTTAATAAGACTGCTACTTTCTAACTTGTTATTATACCCTCAGCCATATGGCTAGAGATACGGCCAAAACGTCCCTCATGAGAAATAATTGTTTTAGACCCTAGGTCCCAAAGGACCTAGGACCAAATCCTTTTCAGGACATTCGGAGACGAACTAGCAATGTCCGTCCGTCTGTGTGTCTATCTGGCTGGTTGGCACGATAACTCTCGAAGGGAGTATCCGATTTGATCCAAACTTGGTACATCGTAATATTATTGTCAAACTTAGATCGAGTTCGTAGATGGGCAATATCGTTGCACTCCTTCTGGTACCTCCCACACAAAATGTCAACATTTTCAAAGAAAATAATTTACTGCACAGGATGAGAAAGGATGATCCGATTTTATTCCAAATTTGCAAATCCTAATATTTGCATCAGTTCTTGGTTAGGTGAGAAAATGGACAATATCGCTCCACTCCATCAAGTACCTGCCCCACAAAGGGTCAACATTTGGAATGATCATAACTCTTATAAAATGTGATGTAAGAGTCCGATTTTCTTCCAATTTCACACATCACAATATTTCTATTAACCCAAGGTCTAGAGTGAAGATGGAATATATCGGACCACTCATTCTGGTACCTCCCCCACAAGGGGTCAAAATTTTGAATAACCAAAACGATCATAAAACCCAAAATAAGTATCCGGTTCTTTTCAAATTACACACATCGTAATATTTTTATTAACCCAAGTTCTGGTGTGAAGATGGAATATATCGGTCCACTCCTTCTGGTACCTCCCCCACAAAGGATCAAAATGTTGAATATTCATGAACCTCATAAAACACGAAATTAATATCCGATTGCATTCAGACTTGGCAAATCTCAATATTTCCATCGACACAAAATCTGTCATAAAGATGAAAGAGATCGGAACATTCCTTCTGGTACCTCCCCCACAAAGGGTCAAAGTTTTGAATAACCAAAATTATTATAAAATCTGAAATTAGCATCTGGTTCTCTTCAAATTTTACACATTCCATTATTTCTACTAACACAAAATCTTCGGTGGAGATGAAATATAACGGTCCACTCCTTCTGGTACCTCCCCGCCAAAGGGTTAAAATTTTGAATATCCATGAAGCTCCTAATATTCGAAATTGGCATTTGATTCCATTCAGACTTGGCACATATCAATATTTCCAACAACACAAGATCTGTCATAAAAATGGTAGAGATTGGACCATTCCTTCTGGTACCTCCCACACCAATTGTCGAAGTTTTGAATAAGTAAAACGATCATAGAATACGAAATTAGCATCTTGTTCTCTTCAAATTTCACACATCCCATTATTCCTACTAACACAAAATTGGATGGGAAGATGGAATATATTGGTCCACTCCTTCTGGTATCTTCCCCACAAAGGGTCGAAATTTTGAATAATCACGAACCTCATAAAACACAAAATTAACATCCGATTCCATTTAGACTTGGCACATCTCAATATTTCCAACAACACAATATCTGTCATAAAGATGGTAGAGATCGGGCCATTCCTTCTGGTACCTCCCCCACAAAGGGTTCAAGATTTTTGAAAAACAAAACGCTCAAATTAGGCGCGGGACAAAACATCCATCTCTCTTCAAATTTCACACATCCAAATATTTTTGCTAACGCAAGATCTGTTGTGAAGATGATATACATCTGTCAACCCCTTCTGGTACCTCACCCACAAAGGATCACAATTTCCAATATGGATAACTGTTATAACATGCGAATCAAGTCCTATATCTTAGTATTTCTCTTAGCCAGAAATCTAATACAGATAAAAATATTGGTATGGCTTAATTTTAAAGGAAATCGAACATTTATATCCAATTTTATGCGAAATCATAAATTTCGATAAATTGAATATGTAATTTATTGAAATTTATGATTTCGCATAAAATTGATTATAAATGTTCGATTTCCTTTAAATTTTGGCCATACCAATATTTTTATCTGTATTAGATGAAGTGGATTAATTCGGTCCGCTATATCTGTTACCTCACCACATTTTCCAAAAATTTGCACATAGGAAACATTTTATAGGAAGAAGTCTATATAGTCTAAATATGACATGTTGTAATATTTCTATCAGTCTTAGGTCAGCTACGAATTGGTCTATATTGGCCAACTGCTTTGGAACCTCCCTCATAAAGGATCAAAGTTTATATAATCAAAACTCAAGGCTGGGGGTATACATCTGTCGACAAAACCGACTGATACTATTTGACTTGTTTTTATGGAAAATTTAGTTTTTTTGGGACCTGTCTCTGATTGGTCATATCTGTCGTTAATACTTTCTAACTTGTTTTTTTTTTTTGGTTCTTTCAAAACAAAAAATTCAGTTAAGCTTTGAATTTTATTTACGTCTTTAAAAAAATTAACTCGTTTCGAACTTTTTTTTATTTGGAATATCAAAAATGCATTTGAATGATAGATAGATATATAACTGTAATCTTAATGGGGGCCAGACAGTTGTTTTTTTTTATTAGTCATGGGACCACCAACAGTTGGTAATTTTTTTTTTCTTTTTTTGATAATAAAACAAATTGTTTTACTTGCCATATTTTTTGGGAGGCGATATGATAAAAAATCAATTTCGATTAAAAGAAATTCTTTTTTGCGCATTTTTTTTTGTGTTCGCAAAAAATGACTGATTTCAGATGTCTGCCAAGAAACGAAACTGTCTGTGGTGATTTTTTTTATTGATCAGTTAAATATTTTAATGGTTGAGGGAAGAAGAGAAATATACAAAAAAAAAAAACAAGCGATTTAATACATTTCAAAAAAAAAAAAAAAATAAATAAAAATAAAGAAAATTCCACACAATTATATTTAAAGCAAGTTCTGGAACCCAAATACCAATTCCAAGATTTTTGATAGAAAGGCGTTAAAAAAATGAAGATTATAATTTTTTATTTTTGATTTGATATGCAAACATTTCTGTGGAATTGCGTTTTTTTGTTTTTGTTTGTTTGAAAGAGCTACTAAAAATTATCTTTTAACAAAAAATAAATAAAACGCCAGCAGACAAAGTATTTTTTTTTTGGGAGGGGAGATCAAAGTCCGTGTCTTTTTCTTGTGAAATACAAAAAATCATCTTAACCAAAAAAAAGAGATACATTTTTAGGTGGGACAAAGTCCAAATAAATGTTGGCAAAAAAATAAACCACACACTGAATTAGGCTATTTGAATAAATGGCTCGTGTTAGACCGCTTTAATGCAAATTCCAATAAATTATTCGAGGAAGAAAAGAAGAAAATTAAAAAAAAAACACCAGCATAAAAATGGAATTTCAAATAACTTCCCATTCCGTATTATCGCATTTATAGAAGATATGTTTGAGAGTCTAATCAGAAAAATTGAATTCATTCTAAAAATCATATTAATTCGACGACATGTATGATTATACCCTCAGCCATAGGGCTGCAGAGGGTATATATCATTTGATACAGCCAAAAAATGCCCCATGGACATTACGGTTTTAGACCATAGGTCTCTTTGGACTAAATCCGTTTCCGGACATTTGGAGTCGATCTAGCGAATTCCGTCCGTCCATCCGTCTGTCTGCCTGCCTGGCTGGCAAGTGTGAACGATAACTCTTGAAGGAAGTATCCAATTTTACCCAAACTTGGTACATCGTAATATTATTTTCAAACTTAGATCGAATTCCGGGGATGGGCAATATCGGTCAACTCCTTCTGGTACCTCCCCCACAAAATGTCAACATTTTCAAAGAAAATAATTTACTGCACAGAAAGAGAATGGATAATCCGATTTTGCTCCAACTTAGCAAATCCTAATATTACCATCAGTGCTAAGTCAGGTGAGATAATGGACAATATTGGTCCACTCGATCAAGTACCTCCCCCACAAAGGGTCAAAATTTTGAATTATTATAACTCTTATAAAATGTCATGTATGAGTCCGATTATCTTCAAATTACACATATCCGAATATTTTTATTAACTCAATATCTGGTGTAAAGTTGGAGTATATCGGTCCATTGCTTCTGGTACCTCCTCCACAATGGTTCCAAAATTTAGAATATTCGCGAAGCTCATAAAACACGAAATTAACATCGAATTCCATTCAGACTTGGCACATCTCAGTGGTTTCATCAACACAAGACCTGTTATAAAGATAGTAGAGATCGGACCATTCCTTCTGGTACCTCCCCCAAAGAAAGGTTAAAATTCTGAATAACCAAAACGATTATAAAATCCGAAATAATCATCCGATCCTCTTCAAATTACACATATCCCAATATTTTGATTGACCCAAGGTCTGGTGTGAAGATGGAATATATGGGTCCACTCCTTCTGGTACCTCCTCCACAAAGGGTCGAAATTTTGAATATTCGTGAAGCTCATAAAACACGAAATTAACATCGGATTCCATTCAGACTTCGCACATCTCAGTATTTTCATCAACACAAGATCTTGGCAAATCTCAATATTTCCATCGACACAAGATCTGTCATAAGGATGTTACAGATTGGATCATTTCTTCTGGTACCTCCCCGACAAAGGGTCAAAGTTTCGAATAAC